GTGTAATGTGTGTTTGTTTGGAAACAAAGCAGGTGGTTATGTATTAATGCGATGCAAATTTGACATTGTAATTACAGAAACTGTCTGAGGCTACGCCTGGCAGTTGCTTGTAGATGATTTAGCACAGATGGATTCACAGGTGAGAGCAAGTGCAGGGTGATAATAAACACATCAAGTTCAGGCCTCCCACCTGACCTCAGTGGCATAATACATTCCTCTGACATCAAGTTAAATAGGGTCAAATAGAACCTCACCTCAATGTCCCCGTTCAGCAGCGTTCCTCCAGCATCTGCATAAAAAAAATACAGTTTTTTTTTTTATTGCTGGATAAACAAACTGGTTGACTGCATATCTTTGCATGTTTGCAAATAATTGTGTTATACCAAAAATATCCAGTGTCCACACTTTAAGAGAGAATCAAAACTTCCAAAACCCTTGTTAAACTGGTTGAAATGAGCTAACATTAAAATAAATTGTTTTTTACATATTAATTAGGGCGTATTTTCTGTATGTTTACTAATTAACCCCTAGACCCCTATGGACCCACCGGTGGGTCCAGCTGCTACGTGACCTCGTAATTTTAACAAACCCCCAGTATTGATGTAAAAAACACATTTGGCACAGTTTGGTGACATTTTTGGATAAATGTGCCAAGATGGCCCCTCTGCCTAAGAAATTTCTCACTAATACCATTCTAAAATAAATATGATTCATCTGATTGAGTCCAAATTTGGTATATTTTTACACAACATTTAGATTTAAAAGTCTGTACTACTTTTTTGTGCTATAAATAATATTTTGGTAGTGTTTTGCAATGTTTATTTCAAAGAAAATTTTGGCGAGGTTCAAAAAATGCAAAATATTTTGTATTTTGTCCTTAATATTTCAGGCAGGGTCAAAGCTACAATGGTGCTGACACCAGAAAACCATTCTATGACATCTTACCTTTACAGACGTACCAAAAGTTTCTTCTTAAATCGAATAGCTGTGAGGCTATAAGTGATTTACTTTTGTGTGTTTTTGTCAGGCAGAAATTTATTTATACCCCCTTAGGGTGTAAGAGGTTAAGAAAGAGATTTTCAGAAAATGAGCTTATATTATTATTAAGATTGTTGTGACCAACAGGTTATTGAAAAATATGATCTTCTAATCTTTTTGCAGAAAAAATGCAAAGTTTCTGTATTGTCTTAAAATAATATAGAAGTCAGTTTGCTAATTTTTCTTTATATGGACATCTGCAATTTCTCTGAAAGATTTAGTAAATGGGTTTCTGACCGTTTTTACTGATCAGCTAATGTTGATGGTTTGTAAAAGCTTTTTTCAGATGATCATTTTTTAAATAAAGTTGAATGAAATCCTACTCACGATAACAGTAACAGTCAATAGCATAGAAGACTCCCTGGTGGTAGATAATCAGTATATCTCGACCCTCTAGAGTCCTGAAAGACCGCTTTGCTTTAATCAGTTCATCTTTCTTGCCCACGAAGTGAAGTCCTCCAGATGGCTGCTGTTTCTCCTCCATGGCTCACAGTTTCAGCCTGTTTCGAGAGCAAGCACCGAATATTACAATTTTCAATGACATGCAAAACAAGTTTCTCTAATGTGTTTTAAATTTCAAAACTTTTACAAGATCCTCAACAACTTGAAGAATGTCTTTTTTTTTTTTTTTTTGTCTCCGGATTTTTTGTGTTTGCATCTCCAATCTCTGCTGTTAGCTTCAATTAAGTCCATAAATAATCCAGGACGTTGGCGCAAGAACATGTCCTGGCACCAATCAGCTCCTGACTCAAGGCTTTAATACCATTAATCCCTAATATCTGCCCCATCATCACTTGGGAAATGGCAAGAAAAAGCTGTCAAAAACGGGACCTGATGAAAAACTGAGATAAATCAATTATACTGGGAGTCATATAAATAACCTACATACATTATGATCCATTGTATCCAAAGACAAAGTGCTACTACATCATCTAAATGTGCAATCTTCCCAGAAGGAAGCATGTATTAGAAATATTTGGATGCAAATGTCATTTTCAGCAGCATATTAGTATTTGTCAAACTGCATGGCTATTGATATGCACTAGATGAGTAAGAATATCATCAAAAAGTCAGCTCATTTTAATAAAAGTTAAATTTATATAATACCTACAACACAAAGAATGGTATCTATTTATTTTAAAAACATGCTAAGTTTCACAACTTTTGTTTGATTTTTGTTTTTTTGTGTGTGTGTGTCCTGTTTTGCCAATATAGTTCTGAGAATGGATGTCCCAGAGTGAGATTATAGATAGATTTCCTTAGTTTGTCCATGCTGCTGTCATGAAAAAAAGGCCCTTACCAAGCACGGAGTACATATACTGCAATAAAGGACATGCTTTTCAAAAGGCCTACTTTTCTTTTTAAAAAACACTTTTCTTATTGGCGCTGTGTAATGTCAAATAATTTGAACTAAATTATATGTTTCGAATTTCCATCAGCCATAAACCATGATTATCAAGATACAGATTTAGATTCAGGTATATTTTAACACCTAGACAGTAAGCAAGCATTTATATATATATATATATATATATATATATATATATATATATATATATATATATATATATATATATATTAAGAATGACAAAGACAGGTTTATATCTCATTCTAACTTTACCTTGAAACCCAGCGGCTGTGACTTCTTCGTCAAAATGAACAACTACGCTGCTGTCAGCTCAGGGTTAAAAGGAAGACTTGTTTCTATTATCTTCTTGCACAGGCTGTCTTCAGTTGGTCCAGCCTCCTCTGGGTCTGTTTCTTATCTAAGCAGTTACAGACATGAAGCACACTCTATTAATTCTGATGACATCTGAGGGTCTTACCACTACGCCTTCCGCACAGAGTCTATTTGATTGTGTAGAAATGCTTTTTTTTAATAGACTGGGCCCTTTGTTTTACATCCATTAGAGTTAATTGTTAAGGGCTTCGTGGAATACCCATAAAGACTTAAAATGGGATAAAATACCGTAATGAAATGTTAATCAGTCAAAACATGTAAAGACTGTAGGTTTTGTCTACTTTTCCAAAATCCACCATGTTCCTTGCCATAGGTTTTAACTACGGGGTTAAACAGAGCAAATTTGCATTAATATGATCACTTATTGTTATTTGCTGAAAATCTTACTCTCTGGCAGCCTTATTTGTCAGACAGTAAAGGGTAGGGGAACCATGATTAGCTATGTTTTACACAGTTTTACTGTGGCTGATGGCATGTGCTCTTTTTTATTCTTTTTGACAAGAAAACTGGCTCAACTGCTTCTTTCCTAGACAGAGTCACCTGTGGAGCTACCATTATTTCCATTAGAGATAATTGTTAAGGGCTTCATGAGTTACCCATAAAGACTTAAAAAAGCAACCATCTGCGCTCTGGACTCAGTGGAGGAAATGGCTGAGAGGACGGTGCTGTCCAAGTTTACATCCATCATGGACAACACCTTCCACCCCCTGCACCAGAGTGTCGAGGAGCTGAGAAGCTCCTTTAGTGAAAGACTTATACGCCCTGTTTGTAAAAAGGAGCGCTACCGCAGGTCATTCATCCCTGCTGCCACCAGACTCTACAATGCATCACTATAACGGCAATAACTTGTGCAATGTATAATGTGCAATTACTATATAAAAACCCTGTGCAATAACCTGTTTTTTATGTTTGACACCCAGTGCAATAGCTATATATATATAGATATCCATCAATTTAAATACCCATGTAAATACCCTGTGCAATAATGCTATATATATATATATATATATATATATATATATATATATATATATGTATATATATAAAAAGAAGACTTTAGCTATATATGGACACTGTATATGCTGTACATATCCCATGCTGCTTTTTCTTCCTTTGGCACCTTCTTCTTCTTTTTCTGGACTATTTAAGCTGATGTAACAAGTACATTTCTCCACTGTGAGATCAGTAAAGTTAATCAATCAATCAATCAATCACATATTACCTTTTCGAACATATAAAGCATTAGTATGTTAGAAATATTCCTTTAGTATGTCTGCTTTTGTGTCCTTACCTCAGTCGGCCTCAGCAGAAGAGCCTGCTTCTGATTGAGGTTCCTCTCTGTTAAAAGGGAGATGTTTCCTCTCCACTGTCACTGCATGCATAAGGGATGTAGAGTCAGCAACACAATCTAAGTGAATATCCAGTGTTGCTACAAACTCATCCAGGAGGAGCGTGTTCTGCAAAGGCATTGACTAAATGCAATCAGCTGGTTTTCCTCAGATTTTTCTTTACTGGCCTGACTGATGATCTGATTGACTTATCTTTGTAAAGGGACTCAAGTTGGCATGTGTTGTGAATTGGCACTACATAATTAAACGAACTGGACTGAAAATAAATGTTATGGAGAGACACCCAACGTACTGTGTAACTCACCATATTGTGTCTAATTTGTAATAATCTAAAAACTATTTAATCTCTCATTATTTAATCTTCTTTTTGCTTTTTTTTTTTTTTTTTTTTGGGGGGGGGGGGGATATTTTTAAGTCCTCTGATTGGATTACAATTTGGTAAATTGTTAAATTGTTCAATGTAAATTAATAATTAATGATAAATACATTTTAATATATTATGACAGACTCAGACTGGTCCAAAAATGGACGTCAGCCTTTAGGACACATACCCTGTTTGCTCAATGAGTCAACCAGTTATGTTATTTTTTTTTGTTTGTATTTTCTGTTTTGTTCTATATTTTTGTTTTGTTTTGTTTGGTTGTTTTTTGTTTTTTTCTTAAACTATGTTGTTTTTTAGCGTAGTGAGGTGGTTTATTATTTATTTATTTAATGTAAGTAAGTAATGATTAACAGATAACAGACAGGGGGGTCAGATTTGGTATTTCACAGCATATCCTACAGAAACCACATGTGCAATGGAGACCATTGACTGAGAAACCTGAACTGTCACTTAGCGGAACCAAATAATCGTCCTTCCTCAAGTCCAGCCGGACGAATTTATCAGACGTACCGAAGCGCTTCCTGCGCTCAGTGGAAATAACACCTGAAAAACTAAACCGTGAGTTGTTTGCTTTTTAATCTTGTTAGATTATTACACCAAACGTAAAAAGATAGCAAGACACTGGCACACTGGATAGAACCGACTCGATTTATATACATTAATTTAGCTACAGTAGCTAACGCCCGCAAAGATTAGCTTCTGTATCAATGCGAAAACTAACGTTAAAATAATAGAATATAAACGAATATAACCTCGTAAGGTCAACGTTACGTCGGGTTTATTATGAATTTGCTGTATTTGAGTTGTGGCTTCATTAAATATGTAAAGAAAATGTGTTTTATGGAGAATCAGATTAACTCAGCTGGTTATCATAACAGTTTGACCCAAAGGCAGAGTGAATGTGCAGGAATACCTCAGGATAACTGATTTAAATAGTTCAAGGGAAATCTGAGAAATATGACAAGAGATCCGTTTTATCGATTTATGGATATGTGTGTGGAAGGGGTGGGCATTTATTATGTCTGGTATTGCGATACGTTTCTAGTCATAATAATAATTTTGATTTAATCGTATAGACTGGAGGTCTTCAACAGGGGGTCCACGACCCCTAGGGGTACCGTAGAGGTACTGCATGGGGGTCGCGAAAAGTTTTGGTTGATTAAACTTTTTTATATATTCCCCCCTGCAATTTTTCCACTAATTGAAATGTCTCTAAATACACATTAACATGAATTTAACACACTGTAGTAAACAGACAAATGGAGGCAGAAGATGTCTTTCAGTCATCAATGCACACATTCAGCGACAAACAGGAGCTCTTTCAAGCTGGGCACCGTTTCATTCACAACACCTGTCCCATCAACCAGGAATCAGAATCAGTAATACTTTATTAATCCCAGGGTGAAATTACTTTTGTCACATTACTCCATCTGTAACAGAGTGACTATAGGACCAGTATGATATAACACAATTTCATACAATATATTTAATCAGGGGGTCCCAGCTCCATCTCACCATCAGTTTGGGGGTCCTTGGCCTGGAAAACGTTGAAGACTCTTGATCTAGACCAGGCATCCCCAAACTCGGTCCTCAAGGCCCCCAGTCCTGCAGGTTTTAGAGGTTTCTCTGCTTCAGCACAGCTGGTTATAATGATTGCAGTAGACCAAAAGCCTGTTAATCAGCTTTCAATTAAAATCAGCAGTGCTGGAGCAAAGAAACCTCTAAAAAATGCAGGACAGGGGGCCTTGAGGACCGAGTTTGGGGATGCCTGATCTAGACGATAAAATCAATGATGAGTAAAAACTCAAAAAACTGAATTTATATTTGTACCATTTTTCCAATTGTTCTTACTTCCCTTTGGGCATTGACAAATGTGAAGAATATGATTAAATGTCGCTACTCTAGTCTAGTGATATAAAGCATACTTCTTTATGTAACTAGAAGGCAATTTTAATTATATCCACACGTATTATTTGTTATTGTAGGGCTATGATTGCTGTGTGAAGCAGTCACAGCCACACAGATACAAGTGTACGTGAAGTTTTTTTTTTCACTTGTATATCGTCATACGGATAATATCACAGAGTAATTGAACTTTATTGATCTCACATTGGAGAAATTTACCTCTGCATTTAACCCATTACCTTAGGGCAGGGATGCTCAAGTACAGTCCTCAAGAGCTACCATCCTGTAACTTTTAGATGTATCTCTTCTCAAGCACACCTTAACCCAAAGCCCCAATTCCCTCATTTAGCTCAGCAGAGGTGTGGCAGCGAGCCACTCATTTGATTCAGGTGTGTTAAAAATGGATTGCATCAAATAGCTGCAGGATAGTAGCTCTGGAGGACTGGACTTGAGCACCCCTGCCTTAGGGAGCAGTGGGCTGCCACCATGGGGCACCTGGGAAGCAATGGGGGGTTAAGGGTCTTTGCTTAGAGACCCAGAGTGGCAGTCTTTGGGATTGGGTTTCAAACTCACAACCTTGAATTCCAAGCTCTATCCCCTAACCGAGGCATCCCCAAAGTCTGTCTCAAGGGCCGCTATCCTGCAGGTTTTAGAGGTTTGTCTGCTTAAGCACAGCTGATTTTGATGATTGCATATCAGCAAAAGCCTCTTAATCAACAATTAATGTAAATCAGGTGCACAGGAGCAGGGAAACCTCTAAAACCTGCAGAACAGCGGCCCTCGGCCTCGAGGACAGACTTTGGGGATGGCTGCCCTAACCATTAGGCTGCCACTCCCCCTGTAGTGCAGGGGTGCTCAAGTCCAGTCCTCCAGAGCTACTATCCTGCAGCTATTTGATGCAATCCATTTTTAACACACCTGAATCAAATGAGTGGCTCGTTGCCACACCTCTGCTGAGCTAAATGAGGGAATTGGGGCTTTAGGTTAAGGTGTGCTAGAGAAGAGATGCATCTAAAAGTTACAGGATGGTAGCTCTTGAGGACTGGACTTGAGCATCCCTGCTGTAGTTTATGAAGATAAGATTTTAAGAGCACATCGCCATTGCCCAGTGTGGGTTTTTTTTTTTTTTTTTTTTTATTATTAATTTTACACCTGCAACCTTGTAAAACGTGGGCCGTTTTGAGAAAGATGAGATATTAATATATTATACAAGTTTCTTGTTTATTTTTTTTATTTAATCTTTTATTTGGAAAGGCAGGTCTCAGTTGCTCTGTACAACCCATCTTCCACAACCATGGAAATTTGTTTGTATAATAACCGTACATCCGTTACAAAAGAGTGAAGGGGGGGGGGGTCCAGTCTGAATTTTCTTATGTTAGAGGAGAAGCACAACCAAGAACATAATTTTGCCATCGTCCTGAACTGGGGTACAATGCACAGCACAACAGTGTTTACATGTGATAGACATATTTATTCCACAGGGATTACTGATTTGACAGAGTTTGTCCATTTAGACCAGATCCTGAAAAATAATTCCCTTCAACCTTGAACAGAAAAACATAACGTCTCCAAAATGTAAATGTCCTGTAAAATATTGACCGTCTCCTCAACTGTAGGAGCTTCAGGCTTAACCCTTTTCTAGGGATTGTCTTTTTGCAGGCTGCCAGAAGCATTAACAGTAGTTTTGTGTGTGTCTTCGCTGCCCAATGTTTTTTTGAGCTGGAGTTAGAAAATATCAGTGTTATTCCAACAGAACTGTCTCCATGTATTGGTCATCCAGTGTGATTTATTTATCTGTTCCCAGTCTTCAGTTGAGTAAGATACATTTCCTTCTTTTACTCGCTTGTTTCTTATTTAATTTGCGCCACCTTGTTTAGAGGATAGAATACCATTGTACATTATGGAAACTAGTTTCTTGCATGAACCTGACTTCAACAGAGACAAGAACACAAATAAAAAAGTCCTGGTTTGGCTGTTCCCCAATTGTCACATATATAAAGTTAGACTTAGACTCAACTTTATTTATCCATTGGGATTACTCCTTCAGAGAAATTCTGGTTCCAGTAGCTTATATAGAGTACAGAGAGTTCAAGCAATATGTAATTAAAGATAAAAATATGACAGACAATATAAAAGGAGTGTATATAGTACAAAAGTATAAAAAAGAAAAAAAGCTGTTGTGTCCTGGAATATGTTTCCCTTAGATATAAAAAAATATATGCACAGAGGACAGCTAATGGAAGGATATACAGTAGTTGACAAGGGTCACGCATAGGTCTCCGTTAATTTTTATCCTAGCTGATGGTTTATTGTTTAGAACTGCAATGACATCTATTATGGTCTGGGAACCCAAACCTGGACAATACTTTGTAAAGAAAAGACCATCTGACTGAGTCAAAAGCCTTCTCTGCATCCAGACTCAGTACAAGAGACAATTTTTTGTTGAACTACATGATTTAGATTAGAATATGCAAGGTTTTTCTGATGTTATCCTGTGTCTGTCTCTGTCTGATGAAGCCTGTTTGGTCCTTATGGATTATCACTGGCAAGATGTTTTCCACTCTCTGTGCGATTATGGCAGGAAATAAATTATAATCAATATTTTGCACACGTATTGGGCAGTAGTTTCCAACTTATCCTCTCCCTCCTTAGAGATTAGTGAAATAACTGTTTCTCCATGAGGGAGGGATTATTTTCTTTTCCAGTAGATTGTGGAAAACTCTCAGTAACACAGGGACTAACTGATCTTGCATTTCTCTTAACCACTCAGAGGTAAACCCATCCGTTCCTGAAGATTTCCCACCTTTCAACTTTCTAATCACTGACCTTAGTTCTGCTTCAGTGGTCTCTGATATTAATTGTTCGTTTTGCTCGCCTGTAATATTGAACAGAGAGAGAGTTGGGAAAGGTATCTATCTGTTTGCTGTTCATTATTCAATTTGGGTTGGGAATATAGGCTTTGAAAAAATATCTTCAAAGCATTTATGGATCTTTTCTGGGTTTGTTTCAACCTTGTTTGTATGTATATTCTGTATTTTGTGAATAGTCCTATCCACTTGTGGTTTCTGTAATTTAGGAGGAGCTTCATAGTATCTCTGTTTAGTAAAGAGAAGTTTATTTTACATTTCCTGCATGCTTAAATTATTTAGTTCCTTTTTTCACTGTCTCAATTTAAGTTCTTGTTGCCCTCTTGAGGGTTCTGGAATGGTCTTTCTGAAGTTTCTAAAAGAGTTTGTTTCTGTTGTCTAATTTTCTTTACTTTGGAGGAAGCGGCTATTATTTTTCCCCTGACTACCGCCTTTAGAGCATGTCGGACCCACCTCTTTATTGTCATTCTCATCCATGTATAGTTTGATTTCAGTTTTCATATTCTCCATTGTTTTTTTTCTCTTTAATAAGTTTGTATTCTGTCTCCAGAATGTGGATCTGCTTCTTTCAGCTAATTGAAAGGAGATATAGATTGGGCTGTGGTCTGACATTGGACTACAGCCGGTTTCCCAACTTTCTAATCTATGCACATCTTTTTTAAACATCAAGAAATAATCAGTTTGTGAGTATACATTTTAAAAAGAATAATAATGTGTGTAGTCACGACCTGTCCACTAATCCCAGTTCGTTCATCATATTTTTTATTCTTTTACTGATATATTTTGAGTTTGTTTTCCCATTAGATGAGTCCAGATTTGGATTTAACCTAATATTAAAGTCTTACTTCCTGACTTTTTGTTGTTGCTAATTCGGTTATTTTCTTGTAAAATGACCAGTCGCTACCGGGTGGAGCATAGGCATTAATAAAACTTATCAGGATGCAGGCTATTATTCCTATAATTAAAATATAACCACCCTCCCTGTCTTTATGTTCTGCAACATGTTCATAGTACAATGAGCTCGAACCCCTCTTTGCTTCCCGGAGCCGTGCGAACAAAAATAGATTTAAACCCCAATTTGTTCAGTTTGGCATGATCAGGATCATCTAGGTGTGATTCCTCTAGCATCGCTACTTTAACTTTCTTTCCTAAGTTTAGATAGAACTCTCCATCTCTTTAATCGAATCATTTATGCCATTTATACTGAAAGAAACCACCTTTAACTGTGTCCTCCCCTTTTGTTTAATTGTCTCCGCCATGTTACTGATGACCTTGAGAATCCCCCTCACTAGAACTAATAAAAACAGAATATAAAACAGTGAACTGATTATTCAAGTTTTGGTGCTTTTTTTATTTAAAATAATCTAAATACTTCACATAACAGTAACAAAAGATCAAGATGACGTTGTGGGGACACTGGTGCGGGTGGTTAGCCTCCAGGCTGCAGGACAAAGACCTAAAAACCCAGCATTGGTAAAATAGTTTAGATCAAAACATTTATGTTTGAATAGCCAAGTTAGACTTTGGCTGTTTTTTTTTTTGTTTTTTACAAAGGATTTAAAGAAACTTTACTCTCGATGTGATAAACAGGAAAATAGGGACCCCTACAGACGTACAACTGTAATTGCACTTATTATAGCTGTTCTGCTCTGCTATAAATCAGATGAACTAAATAAATTACAATTAAAATAATACATACATCAGATTTATATTTGTAAAAAGAAAAATGAAAAATATAAAGCCACGTATATTTAACCTTCCACCTCAAGATTATCTGGGTCTGTTAGTGTGCAACTAACAGACCTGCATTTAGAGTATCCTGCACACGACTGATCTTCCACTACTGGAGCTTTCAGCTTCCTGGTAGAATCGATAACCTATTGTACCGATACTTCAATAACTTAAACATTTGTTGTCGAAACAACAAAAAAAGTCTTTATTTTTTGATGAATTTGGACTAAGAACCAGCTCAGTATGCTAAAGTCAACAGAAAGCAAGAACCCTCAGTGCAAACAAATTTGTTCTTAAATCGTTAATTTAAGGGATTTAGGAGAACATTTCTTCACCTTTTTTCCACTATTTCTAATATTCTATCATACTAACAAATCTTTCGAGTGCTTAAGACTTGCGTATGAGTCTTGCGCAATCAGTCAGCTGCTATCCAAACCTAGTTTTTCCCTAAATGACTACATTTGTTGTGACTTAGAAGCAATTGTCAAATTTTAGGGCTATATTATTATATATTATGCAACTCTGCAATTATATATTACATTTTCATTCCCTGATGACAGAAGTGTTGGTCCACTTGCAGCTGCTGGTATGTCGGCATCCAGGGGACACTGGTTCAATCTGTTTTTATTTCATCAAAGGACATAGTTAGAGATTAAAGCACTTTTGGAATTACATTTGGGACAGAGAGTCAGCAAAACTCCTCTAACTGTGAGACTTTTATTAATTTCACTCCTTTGCAGCTCCTTGGCTTTGTTATTACACTAAATGCTGAATATTTGGCTTTTGGTCTGTCTGACTTCGTCAAATTAGAGTTCTGTGGAAGAGATGTCAGACGTGGTCTGAAGGTGTACTGTAGCAGATTTAGCAGAACGTTGTGGTGTTGGTTGATATTGAACTCACATTTAGCATTTCCATCATATGCTGCACCTCCTGCCTTCATCAGTAGTTTTTATTTACAGTTTTCTTTTTCTTTTTATATTATCTTTATTCTTTTATCTTTTTTTTACTTCTGTAGCAACACAACCACAGCATTTAAAGCTCTATTCATTTATTTATTTCCACTGCTTGGCTTTTTTGCAGGTCCTTAATTCTGCTGTTCAGCTCTTAGTCAGCAGACCTCGATCTGAGAACTTTTAATGTTTTTCTTCTGGGCGTGGGAAGCCGTACCCTTATATGGAATAATCCGGGTGGTAATTATGCATATTTAAATATCTCGAGAACAGGCGCTCACTTATGATGCGTTCAGACCGAATGCAGAGGAGGCGGTGATTTCTGGGAGCCCCGCTCCACATTTCGGATCCTCAGTGTTTACACCCTGGAACGCATCATCAAAAAGGAGGAGCTTCAGCTGCGTGAAGCTGAAACCCACTGATGTGAAAAAAGCTCAGCAAATAGACTGAATGGTTATTGCTTATGTACATTCATTTGTAAAAATGGGGGAAAATAAGTCAATAAAAAAAAGATTACATGTGCTGCTGTCGTTTCAGAGATATTAAAGATTGTTTTTGGGTGATCCAGAGGTTCTACTCTCCCTACCTTAAGCTCTGAATTGAATAAAAATGATCTAGCCTACTTTTTCAGTGCTACTTGAAATCAGCAAGTCGTTTGAGCTGATTTGGTTTCTAAGGTGGAATTATTTTTAATTACAGCTATCGACATTTGCCTCCCAGCAGACATAAGTGCTGCTCTCGTTCCTGATATAAAGTTATTGCATAACATCAGATGTCCTCCCTGTGCTGGTACTGAATGCAACAGCGGGTAGGACTAAATTAAAGCAGCTTTTTTTAAAGCCAACCAAAAAACTTCCTGAGACCTTCCTTTATTTCACCTTTTTTTAGCATGTTTTTCTCTGTATTCCATTTTAAGTGTGAAAGCTTCACTAACAACTAGTCCCTGATTGGCTGCCGGGTTGCGGTTTCATAGAAAAATTCAGCTCGTTTCAATTTCAGCGATCACCTCGTGGATTTGACCGCTGGCCGCTTCACCGCCCTTCAGCGTGCGGTTTGTATTCGAATTCTAAGAGAATCGACCACACTCGCCGTGGCCACCGCCTCTGGTGTGAACGCACCATTATCAGAGATGGCAAAAGTACTCACTTTCCGTACTTGAGTAAAAGTACAGATACTTGTGTTAAAAAATACTCTGGTAAAAGTGGAAGTACTGATTAAACTTCTTTACTCAAGTAAAAGTAACAAAGTACAGGCTTGTAAATTTACTTAAAGTATAAAAGTAAAAGTAGAAACCACTTTTTTCATGCCGTTGCCTACATTTTAAATGGATATCTGCCAATAGGACTAGATCTCCATGGTGTTCATTTTCAATCATCTCGTCGTCCATGCTACTATGCTAACGCCACCGCCACCAAGCTGCAATGATTTGCCGCGAATGAATACCGCCGAATCTGTCGATTCATCTTGTAGTGGTGCGTCAAATGCAACGTAGATTCCCATCCAATTAGACTGAATTTGGTATTGATGACGTGAAAAATAACGGTAACTCCATTGAAATGATTAAAAACTAAAGTAACGAGTCAATTTAAAAAAATGTAAGGAGTAGAAAGTACAGATATTTGTGTAAAAATGTAAGGAGTAGAAGTAAAAAGTCACCATAAAAATAAGTAGTAAAGTAAAGTAAAAATATAAAAAAAATCTTCTTGAGTACAGTAATGAAGTATTTGTACTTCGTTACTTCCCATCTCTGACCATTCTGCACAGTTGACCTGTATCAGGTTTACAAGGATTATTTTATTAGGGAAGTAGCGGCCTACTGGTTAGGGTTGGAATCCTGAGGTTTTGAGTTTGAGCCCCACTCCCACAGACAGCCACTCTGGGTCTCTAAGCAAGACCCTTAATCCCACACTGCTTCCCGGGCGCCCTAGGATGGCAGCCCACTGCTGCCCAAGGGGATGGGTTAAATGCAGAGGTAAATTTCTCCAATGTGAAATCAATAAAGTTCAATTATTATTATTATTTACGATCATTTACTGAAGTATAGAAAGTTTGTTGAATCTCACATGTTGCGTTTGTAAAAAACCTGCAGTAGGAGAAAAAGGAATATAAATTCACAAAAATGTTGTTTCATGAGGCCCAATGATTACTTCTTAGAGCTCTTGGGTTAAACAGTCTTTATGGTGCTGATTTTCCACTCAGGTGCCGCAAATTAACCTCCCAGAACACAAGGAATGATGTCGCTGCGAGCTTGTGGGTTTATAGTTTTCCGTCGCCTTGTCGGCTGCAACCCCCCACCAGGCAACATCGAGTATCTCCTCTTGCAGACGTCCTATGGGGAGCACCACTGGACCCCACCCAAAGGTTTGCAACAAACACAAAGCCTCATTTGGGAAAATAATATAACTTTTTTGTTTTAATTTTTAAATATGTCACATGTTTACTCTCAGGTCACGTTGATCCGGGTGAAGACGACCTGACCACAGCTTTAAGAGAGACCAAGGAAGAGGCAGGGTTGGGGCCGGAGCAGCTGCAGATTATAGACGGCTTTGTGCAGGAGCTGCGCTACGAGGTCCGCGGCAGACCCAAAGAGGTGCTGTACTGGCTGGCCGAGTTAAAAAACCCAGAGACGGCTGTGACTCTGTCCAACGAGCACCAGGACTACCGCTGGGCTCAGCTGGAGGAGGCCTGTAAGCTTACCGGCTACAAAGATCTGCAGGAGACGCTAAGAGCAGCTCACAGACACTTGGAAGCTCAGCAGCACTGAAACCAGTAGCCTTTATAATTGCTGTTCTTTACAGATATGTTTTAAGTCATCCCCATTCTGGCTTTTTTGGGTATGATTGGCCTGTAAATGTTGCACTACATCATCTCAATCAGGTTCAATCCTACAATGTAACTAGGCCACCCTTTGTTAAACCACCTGGCTCTGAATTTGCATATGTGCTTCAGATCACTGTCGCAATGCTTCAGATGTTCGTCTTAGAGTCATTTTCTTCTGTGAAGGTCCACCACTGTCTGTGAATTCTCCATGTGTGGTCGTTCCTCTCACTGTTTGGTTCAATTAAGTCCTCAAGCTCCATTTATAACTCTCTTCATTTTGACTTTTGTTAATAACTGCGCTACCTACATGATGTTTTTTTTTTTTTAGATAGTCTGGTTAGTTTAAATAACTTTTTTCCCTTCTAATATATTAAATCATTTGATTTTTTTTTTCTCTTATTTTAATCTTTTTATGATTTAAAATATTAAACTGTGACAAAAGGAAATCTGTAATGGGAAAACAATACAAATCTGGGTAACTTTGGAAGCGTGTTATATGTGTTGCTATATATAAAGGCATTGTCAATGGTTTTAGCAATTTAACAGTAATGACATAAATCATTTTTAATGAATAAATTAAACACACAGATTATAAAAAGAGAAAAAAAACCTTTATCTAAATTTTTGTGAATTAACTTTGAGGTCCCTCGGCTGTTATAAAGGGACAAGGGAAAAGGTTGGTTGTATAATCTTGATTCTACCACAAGGGGGAGACAAACACAAAGGTGAAAAAATGCCTCAATGCTAAATATCTTGACTTTGTTGACAACTGGACACAAAATTGTTGCTGTTCAGGAAGTTAAGATGATGATTTTTTATAACTGTTCATAACTTGTAAGCAAAGTGCCTATTCTGCATGAGGAAGTCGCACTTTTTGGGGGTTTTTAAGCTGTCTGACATCAGAAAGGCTTTTTTTGTTTCAAAGAAAGGAGTGCGTCAGAATTTCATGTAAAATTCATGCTCATGGGACAGCCCCATATATATA